TTCCACCTCTAAATTTACAGGGATGAAGAATATGATAAGGGGAAGAGGAAGAGGAAGAAGATAAGGGGCTCCAAGCACAGCTTTAGTGGACCGAATCTTTTCCAAGAAATTGCTACCGAGAAATCCAAGTTTAAAAGGGTAAAGTTGGATCAATCTAGCTCAGGGAACCCGCCGTTTAGGATGTCTGTGGGCTTTTTGTAGCAATTGTCGATTTGTCAAACGCTGAAAGTGTAGTGAAGAGAGCACCTACCTTGTTCTTTTTTAGCAGTACAAAATTTTTGTTTGCACGATTATTTTATTGTCTTTGGGGCCGAGCTGCAGTGGGATGGGTTTTCTATGCACTGGTGTACAATTCTCATTGTAGACAACAATGAGATGTACATTCGAGAAGTGAAAAATGTAACCCATTGTAGTAGACCAGAAATTTTGTTTATGAATTTTATATTTTTCAAATCATTTTGTACTTGCGTTGCAAAATGTGTCTGTATCTTGTACTGGATTTTTATTTGGCATTTTGGTTTGAGTTTGAATTAGATGGTAAACAAGTATGTTAAAAATTAATATTATATAATTAAATTTTAGGAGGGAAGAGATCATTTGACGTGTCTAACATAAAGTCTGAGATCTCATTCGAGAGTTAACATATTGTCTTGATTTAAATGACTCTGATTTGTAAGTATTTTGATCTAAGGGGGTGTTTGGTAGATGGTTTCATATGAGATTGATGGGTAAGTCAAGGTGGGAATTGCATATAGTTCATTGATATTTCTCACGGTCAGCAGGAGTAGTTATGGTGTTTGAGGTCCATAATTCATTTTCACAGTTGAAAAATAAATAAATGAAGAGTTTTACTTTTCATCTGTCACATAAGACAGATTCGTTTCCTGCACACTGAAAAATAATATTGGATCTATTTAATTTTTTTTTTCTATCTTATTTTGGTGGGTTCTATTGTTGGTTTGTGAGTGTGACATAAGAGAGAAATTTTCCTACAAAATGAGACTAATAAACCTCATAAATGAAACATAAGCATCATCACCAAAAATAAAATATAAAAAAAAATAAAAATCGACAACAATAACATGGCTATCTTGTATTTACTTTTTATTTATTTATTGAGTTTCATCAATTATTGACTTCTTTCGATTTCCCATAATTTCTAAACGCATACGTTGCTTTGCTTTCGGATACTTGGCTACTAGCTATTCATGATGTCCTATTAATTATTACCTATGGAAAAAAAAAATTGTGTTGGTATGATTGAGGAAGTGTGAAAGTGTTGTGCAAAAGGTTTGCTCTCAAGTAGAAGAACCTTCTTATAAACTCCATAATTTGTAGCTTGCATGAGTACGCACATGATGGTTTATTAATTTAGAAAGATTGACGATATCTTCGTATAAGATTTCCAAAATTTAAAATAATCATGTACTTTCTCCAAAATTTGGATTTAGTGTGATTAATTTACGAATGCATACTAGTGCTGTTTTTTACATATGATGGACCAGTGTACCTCATGAGTCCATGAAGTGGTCCGTCTGATACAGGGACATTATTTATTTGACGTGGTTTGAAGTATAAGTATGAAGGCATGATTGATAAAATGCACAATAAACATAGTGTTCGCATAAAAATAAAATAAAATATTATGTCTATTTTTTTATGCTTATTTTATTTGTTCTTCTTCAATATCATTAGATCAGAATATCAAGAAAATAAAAAAATAATAAAAATTAATTAAAATTCTAATATAACAGTATTGAAAATGAACAAATAAAGTAAATAACTTAGGCCTAAAAAATTTAGTGGGGATGTTATGATTTATAGTAATTATGCCAGTTGATTTCACGTTACTCATTAAGCCTCATCCTTAATCAATGCAAATCATTAGACATAGACACTGACTAGGCTTCATTTCCATCATCTTCACTCATTGGCTGTGGCTTCTAAATGCTCTCTCTCTCTCACGCACTCAGAGAGTCAAATATTTATGTGTGTTGGCCAAACTTGCCATGTGCAAACAACAAATAGTGTATTGCTTGTATATGAAGATTTGTTTCCGTAAAATAAAGGGAATGAAGTGAAAGTCTCATGTGCTAGCACTTCTCCAAAGGAGATTCAAATGAGTGGAGAGTATTAGAGAAAGGAGGGATTGTGGGCCACAAAAATGGGTAGAAATAGACTATATAATTAAGACCCAAAATTAACTAGGGTAAAAACCACCGGACATTAGACAAAATCTAATTGAAATAAATATTGAAGCGAAATGAAAATCATTGCAGAGTTTCCGAGTTAGAATCTTTAGTTGTGTTAAAAATTTAATAGAATTTTTTTTGGGAAATCATACTCTCATGTAATAGGAGAACAAAATTTTTTCTTACACAAATTCGTTTTCTGTGCCAATTAATTTTTCTTTTCTTTTATAATATAAAATATGGGACTCACATTTAATTTGTCTCTATTTTTATTCTCTCATGCAACATAAGAAAACATGAACCCAATTTTTTTATCATCCTCATAATCTTGCATGACTATTAGGATAAAATATAAATTATTAAAAATATTTCACACTTTAAGTTTTTGGATTAAATTATTTATTTATATGATACCAAAGTTTTAGTGGTCATCTGTTTGATCCTCGTCGCCTCAATTTTTTAGTTGAATTAAGTAAAACACAAGATAAATCAAAAATTGAGTCTATACAATATTCATGTTTCAAACTCAAAGTGCTTTTGCACGAGGGATTATGTTAGAGAAAAATATAAAGTACAGTTCGATCATCGCCGCTCCTCACTTTCTAGTTGAATTAAGTAAATCACAAATTAAACAAAAAATTGAGATCGGACAACATTCACATTTCAAACTCAAAAGGTTCTTGTGTGGGGAGTTATGTTAGAGAAAAATATAAACCATTAAAAATGTTAACTTAAATTTTTGGATTAAATTAATTTTTTACACTTACTCAAGTGGATTAAATGATTAATCAAATAATTGGTAAAAAAAATCTAAAAAAAAAAACATTGCATACAAACTTAGCTTTAAAATAAGGGTAAAGTGTGTGTCATTTTAAAGGATGTAAAGTTGTATTATTTTAAGAGAGAAAAAGAGATAGATAAAGGAAGAGAAAGAGTTGACAAAGAAAATAAAGGTGTGAGTCTCATCTCTTTGTGAAAATAAAATGATATAAATTATATCATTTAAAAGTATAAACACTTTTTTCTTAAAATAATGTTTCCAACATAAATTGCACCTTGATATGGGCAATATTAGTCCTTCTGCTGGGTTGCTTCACGTGACAAGACAAACAGTCCGAAGGGCTCAAAACCCCAAACTGAAATGGATTATTTATTGTCACTTACTAACTAGAGGGTCCACATGGTAGATTACTGCCATTGTCCCTGGTGCCTACATTGAGAATGACCCGCATTTTATAATTACAACTCAGTGAACATAAATTAAGACTCACTTATTTCTGGGAGGAAAGGAACATTTTTTGTATGTTTCAAAGTCAAAAAAATACACTTTATTCTACCATGCATTGAAATGGTTATTATCAAAATTATTTTTGTTATTTTTGGGACTGGAAGGTGGGTTGAGTTGAGAGACCACAATAATATAGTCTAGATCTTGGTAGCGACAGAGAGCTTTTTTCTTGAACCAACAACATTAATTGCCAAAAAAATTGAGGAAAGTGAGACACTCATATTTTCCCTGAATAGCAATTGGATTATTTGCCAGTAGAAGTGATGGTATTTAGGATTCTAGCTGAACATTGCCTTATTTTGATGGTGAAAGGATCCAAACTTTGAATTATATATTCGGACTTTTTTATTATAAAATTTTTAGTATTTTTTGAGATTTCTCCACCTATTAATCGACTAATCCATTTAAAACAACCCTTTACAGTTGAACCAAGTGCTTCGTATTATAAAATGCTTGTGTTTAATTCAACAAATAGATCACCGATTAGTTGCATAGCAAGTAAAATTATACCCTTTACAGTAGTAATTTGAGCTATATACAATATCAGTAATAAAGTAACATTAATAAATCATATGGACAAAGTATACATATTTACCGCATGTTTAGATTTAATTGATTTTTAAGAATTTTTTTTTTTAAAAAGAAATCTGTCAGTATAATTTTAATTATAAATTTTTGAAAATAAAATAACTTAACTTTAATTACTTAATTATTATAAAATATCAGAGAAGTTTGTGTGCTGAGACAAAAAAGAACAAGGGGGTCCATTTTGCCTCGGATAATTATTATATCAAAATTCAAAAGGAGACATTTCTTTGGTTTTTTTCTTTTCCAAGGAACCAAAAATGGTGATGAGCACTCTCTCACTCAATGAAGAATCATTGAATTCACACCAACAAATCTTTGATATATTAACCAACCATCATCCTCAACTGTATTTTAGTGCAGTTCCTTCCCATTTATGAAGCTCAAACCAACTACACCTCACTCCAATACCAAATTCATGTTTACCTTTCCTTACTGGTACAAACTGCTATGCATGTTGTGCTGTCTGTGCCTCATTTGAAGGGGGAAAAGCCCTTCTTAAAAAAATCAGTTTTTGTAGTCAAAAAGTCCTGCCACACAAGTAAAGCATCACACCTTTTCCACAATCTTAGAGTCTAGACAAACACACTCACTATAGTTTGCTTCTTGCTTCGGTTGTTTCTTTATTTCTCTTTCTTTTTGTTGGTTTTCAAAGATCTGCAAATCCAGACAAGACTTCCTCACATTCTCTTGTTTCTAGTCCACAACATTTGTGTTACATCATAGTGAGTTTGTTTCTTACAAAGTAAACAGTTCTCTTTTAACCTTGTGTCCTTCTACGCTATACTATGCAGTAAAAAAAATGTTTTGCTTTTAAGTTCAACAAGATATGGTCATGCTGGTTTTGAAGTTCTGAGAGGGGCGTTTTCCTTTGGCGGTGGAGGTTTTGGGGTTGCTGTTCTATATTATTTCTGAGCATCAAACATCACTCCTTGATGGGTTTGGGAGTATTTGGTTCTGTTCTGATTTTGACACTCTTGTTCAAGCATTTGGCGTCTCAGCAACCGAACACTGATGAGTTCTTTGTGTCTGAGTTCTTGAAGAAGATGGGGTTAACATCCTCTCAAGCCAACAACTTCTCTACTTCTGTTTGTTCATGGCAAGGGGTTTTCTGTGATGCCAATAAGGAACATGTTGTTGACTTGATGCTTTCTGATATGGGCCTCACTGGCCTTATTCCTGATACCACCATAGGCAAGCTCAGCAAACTTCAATCTTTGGATCTTAGCTACAACAAAATCACTGGCTTACCTTCAGATTTCTGGAGTTTAAGCTCTCTCAAGAACCTTAACCTCTCCTCCAATCAGATTTCTGGTTCATTGACTAACAACATTGGCAACTTTGGTTTGCTAGAAAGCTTTGACTTGTCCAGCAACAGTTTCTCTGAGGAAATTCCTGAAGCTATTGGCTCCCTTGTGAGTCTGCAGATCCTCAAACTTGACCACAACAGGTTTGCACATAGCATACCCTCTGGGATTCTCAAGTGCCAATCTCTAGTTTCAATGGATCTTTCATCAAATCAACTTAATGGAACCCTTCCAGATGGTTTTGGTGCTGCGCTTCCTAAGCTCAAGACATTGAATCTTGCTGGGAATAACATTTCTGGTCGTATTTCAGATATCTCTGAGTTGAAGTCCATTGTGAGTCTCAACATATCAGGCAATTCGTTTGAGGGTTCTGTCATGGGTGTGTTTCAGGAAAGGTTGGAGGTGGTAGACCTAAGCAGAAACAAATTTCAAGGTCACATTCCCCAGGTACAGCACAACTCTAATTACAATTGGTCTCATTTAGTTTATCTGGACTTGTCAGAGAATCAGCTTAGTGGGGAAATTTTCCAAAATTTGAATGAATCCTTGAATCTAAAACACCTTAATCTTGCACACAACAGATTTACCAGACAGAAATTCCCACGGATTGAAATGCTCCCAGGATTGGAGTATCTGAACTTGTCCAAAACTAGTCTTGTTGGTCACATTCCTGATGGAATCTCACAACTGACTAATTTAGATGCACTAGATCTTTCTATGAATCATCTAACTGGGAACATTCTCTTACTGAGTAATAAACATCTCCAAATTCTTGACCTTTCAAACAACAATTTGAGTGGACCAGTCCCTCCATCTGTCTTAGAGAAACTCCCCCAGATGGTGAAATACAACTTCTCTTATAATAACTTAACCCTTTGTGCTTCAGAAATCAAACCTGAGATCCTGCAAACAGCATTCTTTGGATCATTGAACAGTTGTCCAATTGCTGCAAATCCTCATATTTTCAAAAGAAGAGCCACTGGACATAAGGGAATGAAGCTAGCTCTGGTACTGACCTTCTCAATGATCTGCTTGCTGGCTGGCCTTTTATTTCTAGCATTTGGTTGCAGAAGGAAAACAAAAATGTGGGAAGTTAAGCAATATTCATACAAAGAAGAACAGAATATCTCAGGTCCCTTTTCATTCCAAACTGATTCAACAACTTGGGTGGCTGATGTTAAGCAAGCAACATCAGTCCCAGTAGTAATCTTTGAGAAGCCATTGTTGAATATTACATTTGCAGACCTCTTGTCTGCAACTTCAAATTTTGACCGTGGTACCCTTTTGGCTGAAGGAAAATTTGGTCCTGTCTACAGAGGCTTTCTCCCTGGTGGTATTCATGTAGCAGTTAAAGTTTTGGTTGTTGGATCTACATTGACAGATCAAGAAGCTGCAAGAGAGCTAGAGTTTCTTGGTAGAATCAAGCACCCCAATCTTGTTCCTTTAACTGGATATTGTGTTGCTGGGGATCAAAGGATTGCTATATATGATTACATGGAAAATGGTAACTTGCAAAATCTGCTTTATGACTTGCCACTTGGGGTACAAAGCACAGATGACTGGAGCACAGATACATGGGAAGAAGCTGACAATAATGGGATTCAAAATGCTGGCTCTGAAGGATTACTCACAACTTGGAGATTTCGCCACAAAATTGCCCTCGGCACTGCTAGAGCATTGGCATTTCTGCATCATGGATGCTCACCTCCAATAATTCACAGAGCTGTTAAAGCTAGCAGTGTCTATTTGGACTATGATCTGGAACCAAGATTGTCTGATTTTGGATTGGCTAAAATTTTTGGAAATGGCTTGGATGAGGAGATTGCACGTGGTTCACCTGGTTATGTTCCCCCAGAGTTTTCTCGACCAGATTTTGACTCCCCAACACCAAAATCTGATGTATACTGTTTTGGGGTTGTTCTCTTTGAGCTACTAACTGGAAAGAAGCCAGTTGGAGATGATTACCCTGATGATAAAGAAGCAACTTTGGTAAGTTGGGTCAGAGGACTAGTAAGAAAAAACCAAGCTTCAAGAGCTATTGATCCAAAAATTTGCAATACAGGACCATATGAACAAATGGAGGAGGCTCTCAAGATTGGCTATCTGTGCACAGCTGAATTGCCCTCCAAGCGACCAAGCATGCAGCAGATAGTTGGACTTCTAAAGGATATTGAACCTACTGGTAGCTAGCATGAAGAACATGATGAAATGGATTTGAGGTCGTTTAATTTAATTTATCTTTTTGGTTTTCTTCTAGCCTCCCATGCAACCATGGAGCAAATGTAAAGTATTTAAGTTCTTGAATTGTGTTTTTGATGTTTGATTTTTTTTCTTTTTTCCCACCATTTCTTCTGGTAGATGAAGAAAGCTTTGATGAATATACACCAGAACTTGATCTTTGAACTAACATGTTCCTGCAGCAAGTACTCTTCAATCCACTTTATTTATTCTTTTTTATCTGTTATTGTATAAAAGTAAAATTAGTTCTGTTAAAACTTAAAGCTCTAGACGAATAAGTGAGTTAAATGTGGCCTTGTCTCTATTTTCATGTGTACCCCTGAAGATATTTGAGGACAATGTCACATGTGAAAGACTTGTGGAGCTTTCTTGAGGTAATAGAACATTATTGGGATGACTGCCCCATAAGCAACCTTGACTGTGACTCTATTCTTTCAAAATGAAAATTTCAATATGAACAAAACTACAAATTCTACAAGTTGGATCTGCCTTAGAGAGACGTAAGAGTTAGGGCAAGTTAGTGGGTGCAAGAAACCTCATAATTTTTAGGGTACCAAAGTTTTAAAGTGAAAGTTGGACCACCTCTGAACCATTTACTTGTCGTTTCTGGTTAAGGGTTACCCTTGTGATTTGTCAAAAGGGTAAATGTGATGAGACCTAATGCATGGTTGAGGTTCAGAATGTTGCCTCTTCCATCTTCTCTAAATATCAAAAGAATAATGTTTCTTATTTCCACTTGTGTATTCATTACCTTACTTCTGTATATATAGTAGTTTTTACCATTCTGAGTCTTGACTTGTTTTATTTGCACTTACACTCCGATTCTATCTTTATTTCTAATGTGAGGTGAGGTCACTTGTGGAGTTAGGGAGGGGTGATTGTCCTCCTAAAGTTCATTAAACTTTTGTCTTAAATTATATTCAGACTTTAGACAAAAGTAGCGTAACATAATTCGTCCTTATAATTTTTCAAGTAAGAAATTTTTTTGGAGAATTGTTCAAATTTGACTATATTTTGACACACTATTGTGTCATTCTATTTAAATTAATGTAAATTTTGAATTTGGCTTCGGCAATTGGGTGAGGTAATACACAGTTAAGGAATGTGTATTAAGCATTATGCATGACAAAAAAAAAAATTCTTGATGTTTTTTAAGGAATGTGTGTGTGAACGAGAGAGAGGCTTGTCCTAATCATGTTGTATTCTTCAAAGAAAATGTGAAAAACAACTAAAAGTGTGTGAAAGAGAGAGAAGAGGGGCATGTTGATGTTGATAATGATGTTGGAATTGGAGTGGAGTTGGTATAACCTAATATACTAGAAATACTTATACGACTTAGCTTAGGCAGATTAAACTACGTTGATAGATAAATTGTCACATGACATAAAGACTTATATAAAATAAATATACAATTATTAATGATTAATTTAATCTAGTCAACAAAATACACATTCCAGTGTCACATGCATGATAACATCTTAACATGCGGAGCAATGGGAGCATGATGATTGCAAGTTTCAATCTTGAATGGTCTCTTTGGTTTGGTTGGCCGGCACCCAACCAACATGCCCCTTTTTCACTTTGAAAAACTAATCATAAAGACCAATTTAAAGTTATGAACAAAATATGACCTTGCATAATTAGCTATTCTTAGGTGTTGACAAAATAAATAGAACGATGTCACATATGATCTAAGCAGTAAGGAGTTAGGATTTACTCTGTAGATGAGGTTTCATCGAAAATAGAAAGTTAATATTTTACAAAAGATGAAACCGTCCTTTTCATGTCTATAAGGATAGCGTTCTGATCCCCTAATTTTGCCTAGAAAAAATGTAAATAAAGAAATGAGAAATAACTCATAATGTATAGCACAACCATAAATAAAATAGTAATGAAATAAATATAATGGGTTTTATAAGAGTTATGTTGTAGGAAAAGTGATTGTGTAATGTTATAGAGATTCGTTTTGCGTGCCTTAATTTTTTATTTATTTTTTTGTTTTAAAAAGTGTGAGTCCCATAAAATGTTGTGAGAGTAGAAAAGTTTGTTGTGTTATGTTAAAGGATAAAAGGAAAACCCAAATATAATATAACATAATATGTGGACCCATATAGCACTGCACAATATAATATGAAGTTCCCAATGGATGGTAGGTGGTGTGTGGAAATTTACTCTCCTTTTATTCTGCAAAATTTCCGCTCCACTATTTCGTTTCGTCGGAATTGGAATGAAAATCTTGACTAATTAATAATATTGCGCACTTTTATTAGTTGGGGATAGATAACAATTGGTGGCAGTCACGAATTTAATTTCATATATATATATATATATGTGTGTGTGGGTGTGGGTGTTGGGTTATAACATTTTATTTAGTGTGTTTATCGTTCCTTTCATATATCTATTTGGAGTCTTATTTATTTTTTATTTAAGAAATTCTTCTTCTTCTTTGTTAATCAAATAAATAATTTAGAGAAATTACATATAAGTTAATTTAACTTATAAGAGTAGCAAAGGACATATTGAAGTAATAGTAGACACTCCCTTTTTACTTATTTAGTTATTGACTTTAACTTCTCCATGCCTAGAAAATAAAAACGTACAAAATTTGGAATTGGCCTGAGCCCTGGACCTTGCGTAAAAGTTTATATAAGGGTTGCCTCCATCCTCAAGTGATGGGACTGGAGTGATATCTTCATAATTGTTAAGCTGAACTGGTTTGATATTACACATGCTTAAATTTTGGTTTAACTTGTGTTTATTTTAATTTTATTAGAAAGTGAGGGAGGTGAGGATCGACGTGACCTTGTGATCATTGAAGCTTTTATACCATGTAAAGAATCACTTATGTAATGTCTGGCCACTTCAAGAATCAATGACTATCCCCACATACTAACACAAGACTTTTCAATGTGTTTTTTCCTCACTCGCACACTTCCTGAGAAAACTTCTCAGGAGATCACTCATCCCAGAATTACTGCAAGTCAAGCACGCTTAACTATGGAGTTCTTCTGTTCCGGGTTACTGAAAAGTAGATGCATTTTGTTAGTATAGGTAATACCAATTAATTCTTATAAGCTATCATCAACTGTACCGTCTCATACCAGCACAGTCTCTGGAATCCCTCTCTTTCGGGTGTTGATTGGATTCATCCATGTACCCGCTGCTTGAAGCCTGCCAGGAGCCGCTCCTTGTCTGAGCCTTTCGTATCATGCCCTTTCGCACCGGCGATCACTCCCGGGATATTACAACTTCAACCCAAAACTTTAAGGGAATGTTTGGTAGAGGAGAAATTTTTTTATGTCTGGGAATCATAATTCTCAAGAATATGATAGGAAAGTGAGTTTTCAAGGAAAGTGACCAAAAGTTGTTTGGTAGATCAAAATATTACCGGGAATATTGGCCCCAAATGATTGATTCTATGTTTGGTTAATTGTCAAATATTATTAGAATTGTGAGTTGATTTTACAAAAATAACCTTTATCACTTCCAACTATCTCTCCCGCTCACTCTCAGTCCAGAAAACGCCGGCAACCAAAAACCACACTGGAGTGCAGATGGGAACTTTATTAAAAAAACTATTAACAGGAACCATTTTTATTGCTGATGCCAAATCGAACCACCAACAGGACCTGTACCAGCATACACCAATTTTTATTTTTTCCCTTCCTAAAACTCCAAATTCACCTCTTTTACTTCAAATTGAACTTGTCTGCAATCGATTTTACAGCTTTGAGCGGAGAGGGAGGATGGAGGTGAAGCAACTTGGGAACTAGCAGAGAGAGAGGGAGGGAGGGGGAGGCGAGAGAGGGGAAGGGGTATTTTGGTCCAAAAAATGTGAAAATATTTTCTCACTGTATAGGTTTTTCAGAATACCATATATAAGAAGGTATTATTACTTGAAAATTTTCTTCACAAATTAAAATACCAGGAAATTCCCCACTTCCTTATACCAAACATGGGTATCTGAATCTCAATTTAAGTTTCTTAGAATTTTAAATTTTATCCTCCTACCAAACACCACCTAAGGGGGCGTTTGGTCGAGGAGAAATTTTTTGATTAGTAGGAAAATGTAATTGATAGGGAAGTGATTGGAAAGTGAGTTTGGTAGGAAGATGTAAAAAAAGTTGTTTGGTTGAGTAAAAATTTACCAGAAAAATTATGTGAAATTCTTGAATGTGTGTTTGGTTGAAGATAAAATATTGATGGGTAAATTTAGTAAAATTACAAGATAACCCTCTGACTAAATAACCCTTTTATTTTTACAAACTTGGCAAATTAGTCACCCAATTATTCAACTTTTTCACTTCTCAAGATTTCCCCCACAATACCACCCGCCAAGAAGCTATCTTCAACAGTGTTTTTTGATAGAAATCACATGCAATCTGTGAAAGATTGGGAACTCACTTAGGGGGATATATTTCATGAATCGGCGAAGCAAACGTGGTATTATTAGAATTCATGAATCACTTACCCATCAAACTTGAGAGAAGTCCCGAAACAAACGCCCGCTAAGGTATTGGGTAAGGATCTTTCTAATGATTTATACTATTCTCTCACAATAACCACCATATGATCCCTTTGGATGCGGACCTTTGGATGCGGAGAAAATGGAGTAGCGATTCTATAGTAGCCATTCAGGTTATATCTAGTAAAGAAGATGTCTCTGGTAATCCTCTTAGGGTGGAAAGCATTAACCAATATATGGTGTTCTAAAAATTGGGTTCTCAAGTTTAATCATATTAGGACTAGGAGAAGTAGCATTAATCGTTGTGTTGATGCCTTAGCAAAGCTTGCTTTTGACTCTGCTGATGGTTTGGTTGTCCTTAACAGGGCCCCCCTCTGGTTTGGGAGCGGTTTTTCAATGCAACGGACGCACGTAAGTCTTCCATTCAGATTTTGATATTTGGATTATTTTATTCTTTGAACTTTTTGTCTGTACAATTTACATTCTC